CGCGATAATGTTGCTGGGCCGTCAATTTGAAGCTGTGTGGCAGTGCTGCCAGCAGTACAGATTGAGACCTCACATTTATCTTTCATATGAAGATCTTTTTACCTCACTTTGCCTCATATTGAGTTGGAGTCATATTTGTGGAGTATCTTTTACATCAAATTAAAACTCAAATAAGAAACCTGTCCTAATTATTTTTTGAAGTGTTAATCTGCTTTTTGTTAATGTATATTGATGAATTAATAATTAGAAATCTAGTTTCGACTTATGGATGTGAACGCTAACAATTTTCAGGTAGCGGACTTTGGTAAAAGGCCGTTTGAAGATGTAGTCTTGGAACATAATAGGAAAGTTTTTGTACCGAGTTGGTTCTCTGTGGATTACAAAAGTGGGGTTCGTATTTCTGTTTGATTTTTTTATTTCTATCAAAGTTGTTTTTTGCATATGTGGAAGGAAGGATTAGAGAATTTGTTCATTGATGAGGAAAAGAATCTCATCTACGATCTGAAATTGCATTGCGAAGATGTTGGTTGTACTGGCTCTAAACTCGTTGAAAGATTTAGATGTTACAAATCACACTTGAAGAAGGCGATGTGTTTTCGGCCTGGTTGTCTGCGAAAGATGCTGGCGTAGACGATTCTGACAACAAGAGTATGTACTGAATTGTTTTCTCTTACACTTTTCGTTTAATTCTAGTTCGCAATTACAGTAAATTATGGTGGCATGATGCTACGCTCATTGTTTGAGCATTACCAGCATTGTGACATGGGAGCAGAAGGGTCAGAGACTGCTCTAGCCACCGCTGGGTATATTTCCATACCTGGGCATACTCCTATAATTCTTTCGTAAGTCAAAATATTATGTTTGCCTACATTTGAGGTTTAGTGAAGCAGCAAATATTACTCTAGTACTTTCTCTTATTCGTTTACATACCTTAGAGAAGTGAATGGTAGAACTGTGCTGCGTTTACTAGTCCGAGATGCCGCTAACGAAGCTGAGTCTGCTTGTTTAGCTAAGGATTTACCAGAATGGGTGAGATAGGCAAACTGTTTTTGATTTAATCTGTACATCAAAAAAATAATAAAGAATCATTTGAAGATCACAGCAGTCGTGGAGCGCAGTATGCTTCCGAAGTTCACGAAAATGCCGTTTTACTTGTTGCCTCATGCTAGTCTCAATGTAAAGACGCCAAAAAAGTGAGTAAAGCTTTTTTGTTGGCTTT